CTGACTGGAAAATGCGCTAAATTAAAACCCAGTGAATATGTAAAATTTAGCATAGACCACATTATCTAAATGATAAAACCGTGAATTTAAAACCCAGTGAATATCCCCGAAATGGTAAATCAGCGAAATTTAAACCCAGTGAAAATTAGTCATTTTACAGTACACAAAATATTATTACAGAGTAATAAACTTATTAGTCCCTGTTCAAACGAAGTTCAAAAATGGGGAATCCTTTGGATCGATTCCGCTCAGTCTTGGCATGTGCCAATACTTTATGTGGGACAAATGCACATGCAGTGGTTTAGCGATTCGATTCAAAATGGCCAACTGGCAGCCATCTTGTTTTTGAAAATGTTGTATTTTGAACATGCTTTGTCAGTTTTCATTCAAATTTGGTACATAGATTATACATGTTACGATACATGTCCTCTGACCGTCCATCCGTCCAGAGTCATATTTCAGAATCCTTTGGGCCGATTCCGTTCATTCTTTGCATGTGCCTAGTACGTACTTTATATGTGTGACATATGCACATGCAGTGGTTTAGTGATTGATTTAAAATGGCCGACTGGCAGCTATCTTGTTTTTTGAAACTAAAACGAGCAAGCGCCTTTCGCATATCTGAGATTACCTTCCACCTCTCAGATATGGTTATGAGGATATGGACGTTTTACACTAATAAACTGACAAACTATCCCCTCTGCAGATAGATCACCACTGTTTGACACCCCTCCCATGTGAATTTAAATTCGAGGCATGACAAACGTTAAATTGTATTCAATGCATTATTTTGAACTGATATTTATTAAAACTGCAAATTTGAGGACATTGCCTTCACCATATTATTCAACACAATAGGGCGCTTGACTTGTACAAAGGGTCTAATAGCGACTTCAGTGCAGAACTAACAATACAATTGCAAAGAGTTGCAATTGCTGTATTCCCTATCCCAGAATCTCAAATTCGGTCATTACACATATGTTAACATTGTAAGCCCCATGTAAAGATTTATTGTAGGGCACCATGGCAACAAGCATTCATATTCGTGAGTAGTATGGTAATTCCCTTCTTCAGACTTGCATTTTCTCAAACATACTTTTAAACAATTTTAGCAAGTGCAATAACATAGACATACACCTTAATTTATTTTACTTTCACTTGTGATCGTATATTTTTCTTTGCTATGCCTTAAACCGGAGGGGGTCGTCACGCAATACGTGTTCGAATTTGATGTAAATAAACAATCTGTTGTATATGACACTTGGGACTCAAGTTTTAAGGACAAGCTCGTGACAACCTCTACGCTTTAATATGACGAGCATAAAGAAAACTTTCAAAAATTTAACAGGAAATGTGTTATCATCTAAACCTGTCGGGGCACAGGTCAACATGTGTGTTTGTTTGTTAATTAATTAAATGCATAAGAATATGTATCAATACATTTCTACTTTTAGATAGATTTATTCATCTAGTGTTATCTTTATAAACAGTTTAGATTATTCTAGTTTATTCATATTTCCCTATTAACTGAGGAAATTACCCTATTATTTCACTGTTAGATCGTTTACATGTGTTCGTACATTAAGAGTTACCCCCTATGAGCAATGGAATCGACCTCAAACATGCTAATTATTATGCAGTGTTACCCATGATTCCTTCTCTCTATGGATATGGCGGTCATCAATGGAGTCCACATTTGAATTTAGTTCATAGTTTTTCAAGTTATTCACCTATTTGCCTCTCATCAAGGGCAGTCACAGTTTTAATACAGAAGTTTGTACTACTGATGTAATTACTGGTTGAAATGTTCAGCGTTCTACCCATGAATAAAGAAGTCATTACGACTTTCTTTTGAACTCGATCATTTGAGTCTGCTGTATGTTCTGTGGAGATTTATTAAACGTGGCGATTTATTCAAACCGAATTCCCACAGCCACAAAACCATACAGCAGTTTACGCTGGTTAAGTGTTTCCTGCAATAAAACACATTGACAATAGCCATTTATATTGCTTTCAGCCTGGCCACTATCTTGGTCATTTAATTGGACATGAGGGTCCAGGCAGTTTACTATCGGAATTGAAAAGTAAAGGCTGGGTCAACACGCTATGTGGAGGCCAGAAAGATGGTGCAAAGGGCTTTATGTTCTTTATCATCAACGTTGATCTAACTGAAGAAGGACTTGGTAAGTTAATAGCAAATCATCATCAATTTGTTCATTTCGTTGTTTGACTAACGTTGATGTCATCCACCATTTCTCATGTGTCTGGCTGATTTTGTCAAGCTTGATATTAACACGTAATGCTTATATACGTCAGTTTGTTTTCTTATTTGATTTACAATGATCAACGGCAGCCAAGTTCTTTATAACATACCTTGACTGATTTTTGTTCCAAGTTAGTACAAAGAATAGTGACATGCATATGCAAATTAATTTCTCTTTAGCTAATTGGTCTGCTGTTTACACAACACCAAAACAGCACATGGTTTCTCATTTAATGTCTGGTTTTATACCATGTTTATACTTTGCACAGAGTCCCTCTGGTCTTTTGTAGAAGAGAAGTGCCCAAATTTTCTGGTTTCCCTCTGATCCTGTAATAAGGCAAGGATATGTGAATTTTTGGAATGTCCATTTCTTCAATAGCCATTAAAGCTATTTATTGTAAATATTTCAGAGAGTAGCAAGCTTCTCATAGATCCAAAATTTGTGTTGTGGTATTATTAATATATTGGTAATTATGTATTACCAAAATCATAATTAAAGCTTTATGTCGCGCGCAGTTATCTAACATGAACAAATTTTACTTTCTGTATGATGTTCTCCAAGCTAGTTTGTAATTTCAGACATTGTTTTGATAACCACGAGTTGAGTCCTGAGAGACTAGATCGGTTTCTGTAGCAACCGTGACGCTATATCCAAACGTTCGCTACATTGTTTCCCATTGAGTTCTCGTGGTACTTGTCTGTTTACCGCCCAAAATTCCAACCAAAGTCTGCCT